TCGGCACCGCGCTCAGCTCTGACATTTGAACACGAGGAATAATTTGGCTTCATTAACCCCCCCCCCCCCCACCCCCCGAGGGTCCCTCGAGCCGGGCTGGAATGTGCGTGGTAGGGACAGAACCAATCCCATTAGCACCAGCAGATTGTTTTTCCTTTGGTTTTGTTGTTGTTGAATCACCCATGGCTCCGGCTCCTAGGAAGGAGGACGGGCAGAGGAGACCCATGGATGTGTTTTACTGGGCAGAGGAGACCCATGGATGTGTTTTACCAGGCAGAGGAGACCCATGGATGTGTTTTACTGGGCAGAGGAGACCCATGGATGTATTTTACTGGGCAGAGGAGACCCATGGATGTGTTTTACTGGGCAGAGGAGACCCATGGATGTGTTGAGTGTTTTCCCATCCCTGCCGTGCCCCGTTCCAGCAGCTCCATGGGGTTTCCATCCTTGAAGGCCTGGCAGGCTTTGTGGTGGCTCCAGGCATGATTCAAAGGAGAATTTGTAAGGGAAAGGGCTCAGCTCCACATGTGGGCTCAGGAAGATGCTTTGAGTCCTTGTCCAGCTCCCCATCTCACCTCCTCATCCTCGCCCCGTCCCTGGATGGGGATTTATCTCCATTGGGGTTAAAAGCGAGTTTACAGCTCTGCGTGTTGGTCAGGAATTCGGGATTGCAGCTTTGTGCTGGCAGGAGCTGGGCCAGGAGCAGGGAGAGGCAGCTGGAGCTGCTGGAAAATTCCTTTCCCATCTGAGAGAGGAGCCCAGGCTCTGCTTCCATCACCTCCAGGAGCCCTGCAGCTCCAAACCTGCTGCTTCACCCAGACTCTCAAGGAAGAATGAGAATCATCACCTCCTTCCTCCTACATGGAATAAGAAACCTGCCCTGACCTCTTGGTGTCCCGCAGAATCTCCCTGGGGTACAAGTGGGAAGGGGATCCCTGGTCCCAAATCATCAAAAGGGGGATTGGCACATGGACTTCTCCTCCCTGCTGACCCAGTCCTGGAGTTTCTGCCCTCCGAGGCATCCCAAGGACCCCAGTGCTGTCCCCAGGCAGAGACATCCTGGAGGAGCAGGCCCAGGGCTCCAGGATAAGGAGCTGAAGTGCTCCTGAGGGGAACGGGGTGGGAAGCAGGGACAAAGGCACGTTTGGGAGCAGATGGCAGGAGGGGAGGGAAATCCCTGCCTGGCCCAGCTCCTCGGGCATTGTGTGAGCCTGGTGGAGCCAGGCCAGCTCCCAGCAGCTGAGATTTTCTGGAGGGGACCAGAGCAGCCCAATGCAGCCACCAAGAGCAGCCGGGGGGGGTTGACCCTGATTACAGCTGGGGAGACCCCCCCAACCTTCAGCACCCACTGCTGGCACAGAGACCGAGCCACAGCCAAGGGGGAGATGCCACAGGGGTCTGGGTGGAGGTGGAGGGGGAAACTTGCTGGATCTTCCCCACTTTTTGGGGCTGCTTCTTGCCACAGACACATCTGGGATTGGTTGTGGAGCTGTGCTTGGACACGTGGACACGAGGGTGTGAGCCTGGACATGTGGACATAAAGGTGAGTGTGGACACAAGGACATCAGGATGGGCATGAGGGAGGGAGGATGGACATGAGGGTGTGAGAATGGACACGAGGACACGAGGATGGACATAAGGACATGAGGATGGACACAAGGATGTGAGGATGGACACAACATGAGGATGGACACGAGGACACAGTGATGGACACGAGGACATGAGGATGGACATGAGGATGTGAGGATGGACACGAGTACGTGAGGATGGACACGAGGACACCATGATGAACACAAGGACACAGTGATGGACACACGGACACGGTGATGGACACACGGACACGGTGATGGACACAGGACACGGTGATGGACACACGGATCTGAACGTGGGCACACAAACGTTCACCACAAGGACGTGACCCACCCGTGCCCTCAGCAGCACCATGGGCTGGAGGGTGACTCCTCACAGCCTGGCCTGCCCGTGGCTGATGGGGCCACACACCAGGAATTTCCCTTCCCCTGTGAGCAAATGAAAGAGGGAGAGGGAAGGAAAAGTGTGGAAAAGCCCCCGGCTGCCTGCTGGGGGGAGTGGAACCAGCGGATTTCATGCGTCTCCTTCTTGTTAGAGTGGGGTCCCTCCTCACCTGCTCCTGGGCACAGTTTCCTGCACCCCGAGCCAGCAGGGAGGAATCTGACTCCAGTTTAAAGACGAGGAGCTTGTCCACGGTCTGCAGCCCGGCTCCCATCCCAGGAGGGGACACACTCAGAGCTGCTGCCCGCCCTGGGCTGGGTTTGCCAGCTGTCTGCCTGGATCTGGGGCCTTCCTGCCTCCCCCAGCACCAGCCCCTGTGAAAATTCGGCACAAAGACACCCCCTGAGGGCTGTGCCTGCCCTCTGAGGGGCACTTGGTGGCCTGGGCCTGGCCAGGGGTTTTGTTTTCACCCCTGAGTCATCAGATTGTGCCCACCTCAGAAGCTGCTCCGTGCTGGGCTACATCTCCCAGCCCTTCCCTCTTTTCCTGCCCTCCCACCCCTCTGCCCACCCCGAGGCACTGCTGAGGACGCCGTGCAGGCGCCCAAATCCCATCGTGGGCTGGCAAACGTGGCCGTGACACCCACGGTGCCTCCCATGACAGCCCCACAGGGCCGAGGCTGCCCGGAGCATCCTCCCCCATAGCTGGGAACGCCGTCCCTCTGCACTCCATGTAGGGAAAACCCCCTGGCGTCCCCACGGTGCGAGCACTGAGCCCCGCTCCCCTCCTCCCCGGCCCCGGGAGGGGGTGGCACGGCTCCCCCCGGAGGGACCGGCAGGGACGTGCTCCGGCAGCGCAGGCTGCTGGCAGGGAGCAGAGCAGCCCTTTGGAGATCCTTCTTTGGCCGCGACTCCTGCCAAGCGCGCCGGCATCCATCGCCGGCACCTCCGCATCCCTGGCTCCGCACCCCGCGGCAAACGGGGGCTCCTCGGGGGAGCCGCTGGCTCCGAGCTGGGGACCCTGCTGGGCTACCGAAGCGCTGCATTCGAGGCTGCAGCGCCTCGCGTGAGCTGCCCCGCCGTGCCTGGCACCGGCAGAGCCCGGCTGGGCCGCGGGCTCGGCGCCAGGACAAACACCCGGGGGGAGAGGGAAGGTGGGACGTGCGGGCCCCCCGGGTGCTGCGGGAGCGCTGGGGTGTGACGCTGGTGCGTGACACCGGCGTGGCCCGGTTATTTCCCTCCTCCAAATGGTGTCCGCGGGTGGTTTTCAGGGGGAAAAGCCCTCGTTTCCCAGCCCTTCCACGTGCAGGGTCCCTCCCTGGTGCTGCCTCCCGGCTTTCCCCTCCTTGCGGCTCGCAGGGGATGGTTTGGGGGCCTTGCCCCGCAGCACCTCCTCCCACTCTTGGTGCTGAATCTCCCAGCCCAGCAGCGGAGAGCAGCTTTGCTCCGTGCCCATGCCAAACAGCCCAGCAGGGATTTCTCTCTGCTTTGCCTTCATCCCGGCTCAGTTTCCAGAACGGGAACAGCCCCGTGCCCTCCTGCCGGCCCCATTGGGGGGCTCAAACCCGCTCCCACCCTGGGACCAGCTCCCCACCAAGGCACCGACTCGCCCAACTCTGGTACAAACCTTTTATTCTATTCCCCCTCCCAGCTCGGAGCTGGGTTTGCCCTTGGAGACGAGGCCGGGAGGGCTCCGGGGCCGGGAGGGCTCCGGGGCCGGGAGCTCCTGCCCGGGGGTCGGGGGAGCCGCCGCGGCCGGAACATCACAGACAGCACCGAGCTTCACACGCGGCCGAAAGCAACGACGAAAAGTGGACCCCAAAACGGACACGAGACCCCCCCCCCCCCACGCCTCCCCCCAACCCGGTTCCCCAAACCCAGATATGTTGGATGGGTGGAAGTGACACGGAGCAGCACAAAACCAGTGGGGACGGGGATGAGAGGCCCCGGTCCCGCCACACCACGGCCCCCGGGAGCCGCCGGCACACGGAGAGAGCCCAAAACCCAGGGGAGGGGGTCGGGGGTAATAAGTTAATCTGTACAGACGCGTTAGGTGACACGGGGGTGGCGGGACCGACACCCTCCCGGCACTGGGATGGCCCCGCGGGGCCGAGGAGCCGCATGCCGGGGCAAATCAAACCACGGAACGATGCATGGAATCGAGTGGTGGAGAATGGCGGGGAGATGGGGAGCGGGGAGCCGCCTCCATGCCCAGGGGCTGTGCCAGGGTGAGCCGAGGGGAGCCGTGCTTGGTCCCACTGCCCACCTTGAGGGCAGCACTGCGAGCCCAGGGACACAGAGAGCGGGTCCTGCCCTCAGCTGCAGCCCCGCAGGCTGCTCCCAGCGTGGGGCAGGGATGCCGAGCCCAGGATGGAGCCGTCCCAGCAGCTCCCACCTCCTGTCCGAGCTTGAAGTCAGGGAAACGCCGCCTCATCCCTTGCTTGGTCCCACCAGCCACTTGTTGGCACCAGGGCCAGCTCCCCAAGGGCATCACGGAGCAGGGAGGGGAAGGAGCCATCGCAGGGCCCCTGCACAGCTCCGGGAAGGAGCTGGCCGGGTGCTCGCGTGGGCACGGAGGCGGCGGGATCCGCTCCCGTCTCCGGCTGCCAACGCCAAATCCATTCGCCACGTTTCGGCTCCCCGAGGCAATCGGCTCCGGCCGGCGGAAGGGAGTTCCCAGGGCCGGGGCCGGCGCCTCGGAGGCTCAGCCCAAGGTGGGAGGCCGGGGATGTGCCGAGCCAAAGCTCAGAAGGCTGCAGACGCTCTCCATCCCCCACCGCAGCCGGCTCCCTCCTGCCCAGCGCTGGAGCCATGCCCGGAGGGCTGCGGGGCCCCGGCGGCTCCGGGCGGGAGGAGACAGAGAGTCCCGCTCCGGGACCCACCGGGCTCCCTCCCTTCGGCCTCCCCGCCCCGGCAGCTCCCTCTCGGCTCTGCAAGCCCGGATCCCAGCCCGCAGCGCATCCCTGGGGGAGGCAGAGCCGCTGCTCGGCTCCCGGAGCCTCCCCCAGCGCGGCCGTGCCCGGGGAGGAGAGCGGGACCCGGCCGGAGGCGGAGATGCCCCTGCGGGAGCTGGGGGCGCGGGGAGCCGGGCGGGAGCGGGGCCGATGCCGGGGATGGTGGCAGGGAGGCGGAGGCGGCGGGGAGGGACCGGGGCCCTACAGGACGGTCTTGTCCAGGTCGACCTTGAGGGGCAGCGGCCCCGCGTCCTCCCCGCCGTGCGCGGGGCACAGGGTGACGGTGATGACGGGCGGCAGCGGGAAGGCGCCGGGGCCATCCAGGTCCTCCAGGTACTCCTTGTCCCCGTTGATGCTCAGAGGCTGGAGGAGAGGCAGAAACAACCGTGCAGCCCCAGAACGGGGTGCAGATCACCCCCAGCTTGGGGGCACCATGGGGCCGGCTCTGGCTGCACCTCACACCCCACACAGTGACTGGGGAGCACAGAGAGGGCACAGCATTGCCCACCCGGCCGTGCCAGGTGTGGGGAGCACAGAGAGGGCACAGCGTTGCCCACCCGGCCATGCCAGGCATGGGGAGCACAGAGAGGGCACAGCATTGCCCACCCGGCTGTGCCAGGCATGGGGAGCACAGAGAGGGCACAGCATTGCCCACCTGGCCGTGGGGAGCACAAAGAGGGCACAGCATTGCCCACCCGGCCCTGCCAGGCGTGGGGAGCACAAAGAGGGCACAGCATTGCCCACCCAGCCATACCAGGCATGGGGAGCACAAAGAAGGCACAGCATTGCCCACCCGGCCATGCCAGGCATGGGGAGCACAAAGAGGGCACAGCATTGCCCACCCGGCTGTGCCAGGTGTGGGGAGCACAAAGAGGGCACAGCATTGCCCACCCGGCTGTGGCAAGCACAGAGAGGGCACAGCATTGCCCACCCGGCTGTGCCAGGTGTGGGGAGCACAGAGAGGGCACAGCATTGCCCACCCGGCTGTGCCAGGTGTGGGGAGCACAAAGAGGGCACAGCATTGCCCACCCGGCTGTGCCAGGCGTGGGGAGCACAGAGAGGGCACAGCATTGCCCACCCGGCCCTGCCAGGTGTCCCTGGCACCCTGGGGCAGTGCTCACCCCATACCTGGGTCTTGACGTGCTGCTCGGGGGCGGTCACCAGGCTGGCACAGCTGAGCCACAGCATCACCATGATGGAGAGGAAGAGGCAGGCGGCCAGGATCCAGCGAGGAAGGCCCGAGCGCCTGTAGCACCCCACCACCCCCCGCCAAAGAGGAGGGACGAGTTTATGGCAGGGCACGGGCTGGGAACTGGGGCTGGGGGGGATCTGCTGTGCCACACCCAGCAGGTCCCAGAGCACCTACTTGGACATGCAGCCCAGGAAGTCGTGCTCCTGCTGCGGGGGCTCCGGCGGCTGCGCCTTGGCTTTGCCCCGTGGCTCCTTCACGGGGGGCTTGTCCCCCTTTGCCCGGGGGCCTGGGAGGGGAGAGGAGATGCTGAACGTGGGCACCCATGTGGGCACACCCTCCCCTCTCCCATCCCCTTGCCAGCATGGTGGGGGCCCCCCTGTCTCCCCAGGACCCTCTGCCCACTGAGGGGGCACAGAGGATCCCAGCAGGGCCCCATCCAGACCCCCCCGCCGTGGCTGGGGGTGTGGGAAGCCGATCAGAGCCGAGAAACGGGAAATTTGTTCAGCTCTGGAGAACTCGGACGGGAGCCAGGAGGGCTCAGAAGCTCCCAGCCCCCTCCCAGCCCCCCCAGCAGCCCAGACCCCCCCGCACCTGTGTGGGGCTGGGGGACACCAGGGCTGGACCCCGATCCCGATCCCGGCTGTGCTGGCTGCATCTCCAGGGCCTCGGCTGCTGGGAACTCCATCTCAGGCTGGGACTGGGTCAGCAGGGAGAGAGGGAGGAGGCAGTGAGGAAAGGGTCCCCACCCCTCTGGGCACCCACAGAGAGGGTCCTGGGGACACCCCACCTGAAACACCACGACTTTGCCATCGTCCGCCTGCAGGTAGAAGGTCCAGGTGGAGGAGATGAAGCTCTGGGCAGAGCTGACGATGTCGTTGCAGAAGGTGGAGACCAAATCCAGCATGGAAAATGACGGCAGTTTCAGCTCCAGGCTCTGCAAAGGAGAGGGGACATCACCTCACAGCTGTCCCCTCATCAGCCACCCTGACAGGGGACATTCCCACCCCGAGGTCCTGCCTGGGCTGAGCCGGGTGCTCAGCTCCGGGCTCTGCTTCTCCCAGCACACAAAGGGACGTTCCAGGGCAGTGCTCCAGCCCCAGGAGGGTCACCAAGCAAGGGCTGTGATCCTTGGGGTGACCACCCAGCTTTGGGGCCATCCCCCAGCCCCAGGACCGTCCCTTCGGGGTGGGGTCGCCCTCCTCTGGCAGAGACAATGGGAGCAGAGCAGCCGCGGTGCCGAGGGCGTTGCTCTCCTGGCAGCCTCTCGGTGCCCTGGATTCTTGGCCGTCGCGGCAGTTTGTTATTTTTAAAGCATCCCTGCTGGAATCCGCTTGGCTGCTCCCTGCCACTGGCTCCGAACATTTTCCGACAGCCCCTTGCACGGTCAAACCAGCAAACAGGAAATAAATAGGTCAGATTCTGTATCTAATTATTATGCTAAATCTGCTTTGCCTGCTCGTCTGGGAACCTGAGGGAAAATGCTTTGGGTGGGTGGAGGGGGTGAGGGCCCCGCCTGTCACCCCCAGTCACCCCCAGGTGCTCATCCCTGGCCTTGGAGAGGGGCTGGGAAATGGGATCAGGCACTGGGAAAGGCTGAAAACGGGGCTGCAAAGGAGACGAGTTCAAAGGAGCTTTTCACTCTTTTTATGGCACTGATTCATCTTTGCCTGCACGTGCACGGAGCCAAAAGCCTCTTCCTTGGGCCAAAGTCTAATTTAATTAATTGGGCAATAGCTGAATTAATTAAATGTAGGAGGTGAAAGCGTTGCTGATTGCTGGGAACGATAACAAATCAAAACTGGGGGAATCTGCCACAATCTCCAGTCAGATCCTCTCACCCTGGGGATTCCCTGTGGTCTCCCAAGCCAAGCCCAGCCCAGTTAATTTGCATTTTAGACTTGTGACAAAGCAACCAGTGGTGGCTTGGATCAGCCTGGCACAGCTGGAGCTGCCATCCAGATGGAGGGATGGATGATGGATGGATGGATGGATGGATGGATGGATGGATGGATGGATGGATGGAGGGATGGATGGATGGATGGATGGATGGATGGATGGATGGATGATGGATGGATGGATGGATGGATGGATGGATGGATGGATGGATGATGGATGGATGGATGATGGATGGATGGATGGATGGATGATGGATGGATGGATGATGGATGGATGGATGGATGGATGGGTGGATGGATGGATGATGGATGGATGGATGGATGGGTGGATGGATGATGGATGGATGGATGGATGGATGGATGGATGGATGGATTCATGGATGGATGGATGGATGGATGGATGGATGATGGATGGATGGATGGATGGATGGGTGGATGGATGGATGGATGGATGATGGATGGATGGATGGATGGATGGATGATGGATGGATTCATGGATGGATGGATTCATGGATGGATGGATGATGGATGGATGGATGATGGACGGATGGATGGATGATGGATGATGGATGGATGGATGGATGGATGGATGGATGGATGGATGATGGATGATGGATGGATGGATGGATGGATGGATGGATGGATGGATGATGGATGGATGATGGATGATGGACGGATGGATGGATGGACAATGGATGGATGGATGATGGATGGATGGATGGATGGATGGATGGATGATGGATGGATGGATGGATGGATGGATGGATGGATGGATGGATGGATGGATGGATGATGGATGGATGGATTGGATCCATTGATGGATTCATGGACGGATCGATGGAGGGATGGATCCATGGAGGGATAGGCTGCACATGTGGGGTGTCCCCCATCCCGAGGGAGGGGAGGGGCTGTGCTGAGCTCCTGTTCAAGCAAGGATTTCCCCATCTCCCTTCACCTTCTCCTTCCTGCTCTCCTCCACCTTGGGCAGCTGCTTGCGGCACCCGGTCACGCACCCAAACTGCTCCTCTGCGTTGCCGTAGGCTTCAGCACAGGCTGGGGGAGAGGAGGGGTCGGGGTTGGGGGGTGCTCAATCCCGGGGACCCCCGTGCCCCTCCCCAGCGCCACCCCGGGCACCTCAACCGCCCCGGGGCTGAGCGGGGCTGAGTGGGGCGGAGGCTCCGGAGGGTGCCGGGTGTCGGGATCGGCTGCTCCCGCTGGGACGTGGGGATCCCCCCGGGGTTTGGGGCGCGGGGGCCGCTCGGCCACCGGCTCCTCTCACCTGCTTCGCACTCGGCTCTGGTCGTGTTGAGCTCGGCGCTCGCATCCACGAAGTGACAGATGGAGAACAGCCGGCAGCCCCGGTAACAGGCGTTGAGAACAGCATCCTGCGGCGAGGAGGAGGAGAGCGTGGAGCTGGCACCGGGCTCAGCCCCCCCCGGGCCCCCCGCATCCAGCTGGGGGGCACCGGGCAGCGCCGCCCCCGCCAGGGCCGGACTGAGGGCTGGCACCCCAAAGCTGGGGCTCCCAGAGCAGGGAGAGCCCCCCAAAAGCCCCCGGGTGCCCCCCACGCTGGCTCTGCACGGGGCCAAGCCCTCGTGGAGCGTCCCCCCGTCTGTGTTGACCCCAGCCAGGCCCTGGCATGGGCTGGCAGAGGAGGGGGTGCACTACTCTGGGGGACAGGTACAGATTTGGGGGGGCAGGCACACACTGAGGGGTGTGGGGGGCACACAGAGCCTGCACGGGGGTCACCGGCATTGGGCAGGCTCAGGGTAAAGGGGTGACACCGTGGGCACCCCAAACCCGTGGGGATGCCCTCGCTGGGGGCACCCCAAAGCTGCTGGAGGAGACCATTGGGGGTGCCCCAGTGCTCCCCATGTCGCTCCCCCGGGGGTGGCTCGGTGTGGGGCTGCGTTGGCAGAGCTGCCTGTCGGGGCTGTCCCCACTGCTCCTGCTGTCCCTGCTGTCCCTGCTGTCCCCAGTGCCCCCAGTGCCCCCAGTGCCCCCAGTGCCCCCAGTGCCCCCAGTGTCCCCCATGTCCCGCTGCTCCTGGTACTCACGGTGTGCCAGGCATTCCTGGTGCTCCCCGTGCTCCCCGTTCCCCACTGGCCCTGATGCCCCTGATGCTCCCCATGCCCCTGGTGCCCCCCAGTGCCCCCCAGTGCCCCCAGTAGTGCCCGAATGCTCCTGGTACCCCAAATGCTACTGACACCTCCATGCCCCCAATATCCATCCCCAGTGCCCCCGGTGCCCACGATGCTCCTGGTACCCCAAATGCTGCTGACGCTCCCCATGCCCCTGGTGCCTCCCAGTACTCCCAGCGCCCCCGATGCTCCTGGTGCCCCCGGTGCCATTGATGCCCCCCCGGTGCCCCGGACTCACGGCGGCGGCCCGGCGCTGCAGGCTGCGGCCGCACTGCCCGCGGCACCCGCCGGTGTCTCCCAGCTGCGGCGAGAAGGGGTCGGTGGCGGCGGCGGCGGCGGCGGCGGCGAGAAGGGCCAGGCCGAGGGCGAGCAGGGCCCGGGGCCGGCGGGCCGGGGCCGCCATGGCGAGCGCGGAGCGGAGCGGAACGGAGCGGAGCCGAGCGCACCCACCGCCGCCACCGCCGCCGCCGGCCCCGCCGTGACGCGCTGTGCGCCGGGCGGGGGGAGCCGGGGGCGGGGGGAGCCGCCGCAGCCTGCCGCAGATCCACCGGCACCGGCACCGGCACCGGCACCGGCACCGGCACCGGGCGGGGATGGCGAGAGAAACGTGCGGGAGGATGGGGGATGCCCAGGCGGAGGGGGCTGAGGGGAGCCCCGGGATGCAGGAGAAGGGGGGGGTCCAAGGACCAGGGATGCAGGGGGATGGGGGATGCACGGACACCGGGGGATGCGGGGGGACAAAGGGGACGTGGGAACCTTTGGAGGTTTATGGGGACCAGAGGGTGTAGGGGGGCCGTGGGCACTGGGGGACGCAGGAGGGTTCGGGGTGGCAGGGACACCACAGGACTTGGGGCCACCCTGACACAGAGGGACTGAGGCGGTGACCAGGAACCGTGTCACACTGGCACTGATGTCACACAGAGGGACAGGGCTGCCTCACTGCCACCCACACGGACCAAGCCTCAGGAGGGTCCCCAGCAGCGTCACACCCCACTGTGCCACCCTCGGTGTCCCTCCAGGACTCCCCAGGCCACCTTCGTGCCTCCCATCCTCATCCTCGCTCCGCAGGGCCCCCCGGCCGGTGCTGGGCTCTCGCTGACACCCCGGATTTACAGCTGTGATTTCCCAGGCTTTAAAGGACATCAAAGGCACCCCCCGCACCCCCCCTCAGCCCTGCCCTGCCCATTCCCCTTATTTATGGCAGCACCCCAAAGTGGGCCCGGGGGGAGGAGGAGGAGGAGGGGGAGGGCTGGGGGCTCCGCTCACCTCCGGCCCTAATGGGGAACACATGGACGGACCCCGGCGCGGGGAAGGGGGGGTCTCGCTGTCCCAGCTCAGGCATGAGGGGTGCTCCGTGCCCCGGGGCCGGGACAGAGGGGCTGGGGGTGCTGGGGGCGCAGCCCGGGCCCCCCCGGAGCAGGGAGCGGGGCCTCTCCTCGCCCCGCCACTTTATTCATCTTGTTAATCAAAGCGGGGCCGGCAGAAAATGAGCTGCGGCCGGGCCGGCGGGGCTGCCAGGGCGCTGCGCTCCCCTTCCCCCTCCTGGAGCCCCGCCAGCCCCGGCCCCGGGTCCGGCACCGCTGACGAATGGCCGAGAAAATGGGGTAGATTGGGGCTGTCACCGTAAATCACGGCAGCGCAGGTGGGGCAGAGCCGCAGCCCGGAGCCCCGGGGCACCGGGAGCCCCTGGCCGGTGGGCACCGCTCCCGCCGCACCTGCCCGCGCTCCGTCCGCTCACCTTTCCAGGGAAAAAAGCCTTTCCCAGGCGGAAACCTCCCAGCTGGCACATCCCTGGTGCCCTCCCTCCTCCCCTCTCCAGAAACACTCGATGCCTTTCGCATTTATCACTACTGACCTACATTTCTCTCCCGGAGCCTTGCGGGAAGCCTCAGGCTCTCCCCACATTGTCTGGGGAGTCCCCACGGTCCCTTCCACGGGCAGGGGACCCTTTCACTCCATGTCCCAGCCCTGCAGAGCCCATCCCTCGTGCTCAAGCACCCTCTCGACATTTTTTCCCCTCCTCTAGGGCTGCTCAGACTCCGTCACGGGACTGCTTGTGCTTCCCAAAGCAAACAGAGGCGGGAAGGTGCGGCCACCCTGAGGATGCTCTGGAGGGAAAGGGTGGGGGGCGCCCGCAGGGAAAGGGTTAAGCGGGTTATAAATTACCCATGGATGTGGAAATGTGACTGAGAGGAATAGAAAGCAAACTCTGCCTGCTGGATTCTTTGCATTTCTTGCCTCTTTATTTTTCCCCCAGGTCACTTTAAAAGGATGCAGGCAGTCGAGGCAGCTCCGCTGCGCCTCTCCTCCCGCTTTTCCCGGGGTTTGGGGCTTTTTTTTCTTGTTTGTTTTTTACACCCTGGCCCTTGAGCCAGATGCTGTCTGCGTCCAAGGATTTTATGGAGTGAGCTCTGGCTGGGAAATCAAGTAATTAGATTAATTCGGGGCCCTGGTGACACATGATGGAGGGAGGCGGGAAGGTGACGGCTGGTGGGAAGCTGGACCGAGGATGCTCAGGGCGGGCTCGGGGATGTCCCCAGGGCCACCCGCATCCATCGGGGGGAGCCACGTCCCGCCCGGGCAGAGCAGAGAGTTCGCGGCAGGGGCTGGGCCCCGTGGGCAGATCCCGCACGGCAGCGGGGCAGAGAGGCCCTGGGAACGGAGCCACGCCGGGGGGGCAGCGGGACCGCGCCGGCCTCGGGGGACGCCGGTGCTGACGCCGAGAGCCCGGGCCGGGGGTCAGAGGGGGGCTCCGGGCTGGATCTGCCTCCGGCCGGTGCCTGTGAGCGCGGCCCGTGGGCCGGAGGGAGCAGCTTTAAAGGTCACTGGCAAAGGGCAGCGCTGACCACAGCTGAGCGGCCGCCGCTGACTCAGAGCGCGGGAGAGCGGCTCGGTCCCCCCCGGCTGCTCCGGACGGGTCCTGAGGCCACCCCGGCACTGCCCGCGGCTGGGGAGCGCTGTCCCCTCACCCTGTCCCCGTGCCGCAGGTGCTGCTGTGAGCTGGGAGGTGCCACCTGTGGTGACACTCACCGCGTTCCAGGTGACACCGGTGGGGACCGACGCTCCCCTCCCAGTGCCACCGTCCCTCCACCTTCCCCCTGCGCCCCAAGGCCAGCCCCAAGCCCAAGCCGCCTTCTGATGACGCCTCTGCCACCCATAGCCCCCGTGTCCCCAGGGTGGAGCCACCCCCTCCCCGGGGTCCCACCCGCTCCCCCAGACTCCCCAAATTCGGGGTGCTCGCTGAGCAGCGCGGCCAGCGGGGGAGCGGGCGGAGGGGGAAGGCTCCGGGCAGGGCAGGTGGGCGGCCGGGCTGGCCGCAGCTCCCGGCTCCGGCTCCACGGGGGGAATTTCTCCTTTCCCCCTGCGCCCAGCGCTGGCCGCGGGCCCCGGGTGCTTTCCCTGGTGGGTCGGGATCGCGGGCGGCCGCCAGCCCCCGGGGCAGCCGTGATTCACTCGGCCAGACTGCGGCCGCTGGGGCTGAAGTTTCTCAGGCTGGGTGGCTCCCGGAGCCTGACATTTTTGGGAAATTTCAACAAAAACATTTCAGAAGCTTCCAAAAAACAGGACGATGGGAAAAGGCATTGTTTGGGCTCCCTCCCCCTCTCGTTTTTTATTGTGTTTTTTAATCTCTGCAATCCCTGGTGCTGCCCAACACCTCGCAGCCCCACGTTGTGTGTCACCCCCCGCCCCGAGTCCCTGGGGCACCCCGGGCCACCCGGGTGTCCCCTGCCACCCTCCGTGCTCCATTCCTGGCAGGGAATGGTGTCCCCTCTCCTCACAGCTGGGGACACGTGGGGACAGTGGCCTTGCCATGACCGGGACCCGCTGTCCCGGGGGTCTCTGACCTGCCCGGGGTCTGCAAAGCTCTCGGTGCCACCGAGACCCCGGGCGGGGGCACGGGGGGGACACTGGGGGATGCCCGTGTGGGTGGCTTTGTCCTGGTGCTGGTGGCACTCCCGGACATGCCACCACCCCTGGGGACAAACGCAGCCCCAGTCTGGGGGGTCTTGGGGTCCTTTTTCCACTTCTTTGGGGCTTTGAGGAGGAAAGCCCCGAGATGATGGGTTCGGTAGAAAACATCGGGATTTACGGGATGATATTCCTGTTTTCAACCCAGAAATAAGTAATAACAGGGGTTTGGATCTCGGAGGCACTCGGAGCGTGGGGAAGCCGCGGCGGGGGGGGCCCCGGGGGCGCGGGAGGGTCCGCGCGTGAGTCACCCGTGGGCCGGCGGCCCCGGAGCGGCTCTTACTCACCTACCGGGGATCGGGGGGAGCGGGACACCGGCCCCGGCAGGGCTGGGGGGGTCCAGCATCCCGCGGCGGCAGCGGGCACCGGGCGGGGGCCGGTGCCGGGGCCGGTACCGGAGCGGGGCGATGTGGGGGGGGGGTGGCGGGGCCGGTGGCTTTCTGCCCCCCCGGGGGCGGTCCCGGGGCGGGGCCAGGGCGGCAGTTGGGGCTTTGGTAACCGGGGGTTGCTCAGACTTGCTCGGGACTTCCCCGGACGTGCCGGTGCGCTCCGCCGCCCCGGGCACCGACGGGCACCGGAGCAGGCCATGCCGCCGCCGCCGCTGCTCCCGATGCTGCCGCTGCTGCTCCTGCTGCTGCCGCGCCTGCCCCGCGCCGAGCCGCTCTCCTGTGAGTACCGGCAGCACCGGGCGGCTCCCGCAAGGTGGGCGCGGGGCGGGCGGGGGTCCCGTCGGGGCCACGCGGGCGCTGCGCGGAGCCCCCCGGGGCTCTCCCGTCCGGCTCCGGCCCCGGCGTGCGGAGCCCCCCGAGGTTCCCCCGCTCCTTTCCGCGTGTCCCGTTCCCCCCCCAGCGGTGCCGGGATGCGGAGCCCCCCGGGGCTGTGCGCTCCTCTCCGCGTGCCGCGTCCCCCCCGGCCCCGGGATGCGGAGCGGCCGCGGGCGCGGCGGGGGCACCGCCGGGCGCACCTCGGGGCTGCGCTTCGCCTGCGCTGCGGAGGAGGAGGAGGAGGAGGAGGAGGAGGACAGGGACCCCCCCGCGGAGGGCAGCCGGGACCCCCCCTCCCCTCCCGACAGCAGCCGGGATCCCCCATCCCCGTGCCCGCAGCCCAGCCGGGACCCCCCCGCCCCTTCCCCGCAGAGAACAATAGAGGAACCTTTTTTGTGCTGCCCCCCATCCCCGAGAGCAGCGAGGAGAGCCCCCCCTCCCCCGGCGCAGCCGCTGCTCCCTCTCCCCACGGAGAACGGCGACCCCGAGGAGGGCCGGTCCCCCCTTGTCCCCCTCCCCGCCGTCCAGCCCCCCCTCCCGCAGAACAATGCGGCTCCATTCCCCACCCAGGACAATGGAAACCCCCGGCCTCCGCCCGGAGAACAATAGCGAGCCCCTTCCCCTCGCGACCCCCTCGCAGCCCCGGGAGCCATCGCCCCCCTCTGCCCCCCCCAAAGCCTCTGAGACCCCCCCTCCCCCTGCCGCGAACAACGGGGTCCCCCCTTCCCCCGGAGAGCCGCCCCCCCATTCCAGAGAACAATGAGTCCCCTTTGCCCACCCAGAACAACGAGGATCTCCCTCCCCGCCCCACGGAAAACAACGACCCCCCCAACAAAACCAAAAATCCCCCTGGGGGCCCTCAGTGATGCCCAATTTGGGGGCCCCACCGGCGGTGGCAGGTCCGGGAGGTGCCACCTGTGGGCTGAGCTGTGGAGCGGCCTCAGCCCCGCGGGGATCGGGGTCCCCCCGGCCGTGGGGGCACACACGGGGGAGGGATCCCCCCTTCCCCACGGAGCCCTAAACCCGACGGAGCCCCGGCCCCGGCCACCGCCCCGCTGCCCCCGCTGCGGCCCGAGGCAGGGGAGGGCGAGGTCCCGCTCCCCGCTCCCCGCTCCCCGCTCCCCGCTGCCCGCAGCAGGAAGTTCGGCTTCCTCCCTATGATGGGAATTTCTCAAGGCGATGGATGTTCTCCGCTCCGACGCGCGAACGGGACCCGCCACAAACGGCACCGCTCGCCCGGCGGCTCCCGCGCCCCCTCCCCGGCCACCGGCACCGAGCCCTGACCCGGCCCCGTCCGTACGGGGGAGCCCCGAGGGCGTTAATTGGGGCAGGAGCTGCTGGAGCCATGGGGTGGGGAGGGGGAACGCTCCAAAAATCCCTTCGGGGGCCGTGAGCGAGAGCGGCCGATCCCGGCGGCTCCCGGTGCCCGCCCCGGTGCCCGCCCCGGTGCCTGGAGGGGCTGATCCCGCTGGGAACCGCCCGAGGCCACGGCCGGACCCTCGGAGGGGCTGAGCCCGCACCTTCCTCCTCCCGAGCCGCCGGGCTCCCCCCGGACCCCATTTCCCCCTCCCCACGGGGGTCCGGGGCAGCGCTGGCCCCTCGACGTGCGGCGCTGGCCAAGGCGAAGCCAAATCTCCTTTTAGAGAGCGAAAGTTTCCCCTCGGTGCAGCTCGGCCGCGCTGGAATGCCTGGGCTTTTTATAAATCCCTCCTCGAGCCCAGGGATGGGCACGAGAAATGCCAGTCGGGGATGAGAAAGGGGAAAAAGAGACTGGAGAGCAGGGTAGGAAGGAGGGATAAAGCATTTCTGGGTACCGTGTCTGCCCGCAAGCCTCGCTGCTCGAGTTTTAGACGAGCTCAAACTACACATATATATTTAATTTTATTTTTCCTGTGGAATTCAGAGCTTCCCAAATTCCCTTTTGTTCTTCAGGGCAATTATTTCTATTTTCCTTTAACCCCCTGCACAGCTCAATAAATCTTTTTTAACTGCGTGATCTCTGACACTTATCAGAGCTTTTTTTTCTTTCCTCCCCCCTTTTCTTTGCCAACCCCTTAAAACTCCGATATAAAACTAAAATGAAATCCGGCCCTTCGGAAGAAAAGCATAAACGTTCCCGACACCTTGGAAATGTGGTTTTACTTTATAGCATTACTTAGCACCTGATCAGCGTTTTTTTTTTGCAATAGAGAAGCCATAAAACCCCCGAGCAGGTATTTTCGTTGCAACTTGCACATTCCACAGCCTGCCTGCGTCTCTCCGGCCCTTTCCTCTCCCGATCGGAAAACTTCACACTTTTCCCTTTTAAAACACATGTTCGGCGCTGCGGCCGTGCTGAGGGGGGAAAACAATTCCGGGGGGAAAAAAATATAATATATATATGTATATAATTGGCCCCTCCAGAGGCTCCTGCTCGGAGGAGGGAAAAAAAAACCAAAATCCAGGGAAAAAAAAAAATACAGAGAGAGAGAAAATTGGCCCCTCCAGAGGGTCCTGCTCGGAGGATGGGAAACGTGTCTGTTTTACGGTGCTCGTGTGAGTTTCTGGGGCTGTTTAGATTAAGGCTGAGGAGAATCAGGGCTCGGAGTGCTGGGTCTGTTATCGGCAGAGCCGCAGCAGCTCCGGGCTCGGCTCGTGGCGGGGTCGGAGCGGGGTGGGCGCCTTGGCAGAGAGGGGGGATGAGAATTCCAGAGGCCTGGCTGGCCTTGGGAAGGGCTGGGATGGATCCATCGCCATCCAGGGATGCTCGGGGCATCCCGGAGTACCCAGCACCGTCCCGCGGCCGTTCGGGGTACCGGGTACCGATCCGGGGGTGCTCGGGGTGCCCGGCACCAATCCGCGGATATTTGGGGTGCCCCAGGCTGCCTTTCCCCGCTGCATTGCCCTCCTCGCCCCTCACCAGCACGGCGGCAATTCCTGATGAAGCCTCCCCGGAGCAAGGAGGATTTCGGAGCCCTGATTGCGGAGCTGGGGGGCGGACCCTGCTGGGATCTCTGCGGCGTGCGGGGCTTTCGGGAGCGCCGGGCGGGAGCCGGGGCGGGCGGCGGGCGCTGAAAGCCGAGCGGGGCCCGGAGGTCGCCGGGGCGGGGAGGTCGCGGCACTTTCCGGGAGGTAATTTGGGAATATTAACCCGGCGCGTGCGGATGGAGCCGATAAGGGCTGACGGACACGGAACAGCCCGGCCGGGGCAGCCGAGGGGGCCCGGCGTGAACCGGGATGGGAATTTCCCCGCTCGGAGGGGCTCCCGCAGCCTCGGCACCCTCGGGATGTCCAGCGGAGAGCGGTGGGATTTGGGAAGGAGCCCAGGATGGGAATTTCCCCGCTCGGAGGGGCTCCCGCAGCCCCGGCACCCTCGGGATGTCCAGGGGAGAGCGGTGGGATTTGGGAGAGGGCCCAGGATGGGAATTTCCCCGCTCGGAGGGGCTCCCGCAGCCCCGGCACCCTCGGGATGTCCAGGGGAGAGCGGTGGGATTTGGGAGAGGGCCCTGGACGGGAATTTCCCCGCTCGGAGGGGCTCCCGCAGCCCCGGCACCCTCGGGATGTCCAGGGGAGAGCGGTGGGATTTGGGAGGGGGCCCAGGATGGGAATTTCCCCGCTCGGAGGGGCTCCCGCAGCCCCGGCACCCTCGGGATGTCCAGGGGAGAGCGGTGGGATTTGGGAGAGGGCCCAGGATGGGAATTTCCCCGCTCGGAGGGGCTCCCCCAGCCTGTGACACCCTCAGGATGTCCAGGGGAGAGCGGTGGGATTTGGGAGCACACGGTGAGGATGAGGCGGGAGCTCTTGGGAAGCGCTTCCCAGCCCTGGGCGAGGCGATCCTGGGGGAAATGCAGGACCTGGCAGTGTTGGAAAAGGCAGGGAGGGGGAAATCCCCTCGAATTTTCTTTTTTTTTTGAAATCCTTTTGTCGCGGAAAAACTTCCGAAGCTGCAACCCAGCCCCGCCCCAGCCCTGGGGAAAATAAAGATAAAAAGTGGATATGAAAAGTATTTTTAAAGTTCTAAAATAGATGCAGATATAAAAATAGATATTAAATGTGTTTAGATATAAAATATATGTAGATATAAAAGTAGGTGTAAAGCGTATTTAAATAGATAAAAATAGGTGTGTATTGAGATACAGAATAGATACAAAAACTATTTAAAGAGATATAAAAGATACAAAATGTCTTTAGGTATAAAACGGATATAAAATGTGCAGAAGTAAAGAATAGATATGAAACACATTTAAACCAATGTAAAATAGAAACCAGTGTCTTTAAATGGATGTAAAATGGAAACCAGTGTGTTAAATTGATACAAAATAGATATGTGATGATTTAAATCTATATAAAATAGATATGGGATTTAAATCAGTATAGGCTTGTGATGATTTACATCGATGTAAAATAGCTAAACAATGTGTTTAAATTAACATAAAACACATATGATGATTTAAATTGATATAGACGTGATGATTTAAATTGATGCAAAATAGCAAAACAATGCACTTAAGCAGATATAAAACGTATTTAAATGAATACAGAAGAGACATCAAGGCGTTTAAATCAATGCAAACCAGATAAACAGACCCAAGACACGCTCAGACAGCTCTAACCTCGTCAGCTCAATACCAAACCCTCATAACCGATTCCCCCCGCTCTGTCTCTCCGGCTGCAGACCCCGCCGTGATTTCCCCCCAGGACCCCACGCTGCTGATCGGCTCCTCGCTGGTGGCCACGTGCACGGTCAGCCCGGACTTTCCGCTGAAAGCCGAGGACCTGTACTGGACGCTGAACGGGCGGCGCCTCCCGGCCGCCTCCTACGCCGCCCTGGGCCCCTCCACGCTCAGCGTGGCCCTGGCCCGCCTCAACGGCTCCAGGCAGCAGTCGGGGGACAACCTGGTGTGTCACAGCAGAGACGGTGGCATCCTGGCCGGCTCCTGCCTTTATGTCGGATGTACGTCGGTGCTGCCGCGCCGTGCCGGGGTCTGGGCTGTGGGCTGGGGTCTGGTCACTGTGGGCTGGGGTGTGGTCACTGTGCTGGGGTCTGGTCACTCTGTGCCAGGGTCTGGTCACTGTGCCGGGGTCTGGTCACTGTGGGCTGGGGTCTGGTCACTGTGCTGGGGTCTGGTCACTCTGTGCCAGGGTCTGGTCACTGTGCTGGGGTCTGGTCACTGTGCCGGGGTCTGGTCACTGTGCTGGGGTCTGGTCACTCTGTGCCAGGGTCTGGTCACTCTATACTGGGGTCTGGTCACTCTGTGCCAGGGTCTGGTCACTCTATACTGGGGTCTGGTCACTGTGGGCTGGGGTCTGGTCACTCTGTGCTGGGGTCTGGTCACTGTGCAGGGCTGTGGTCACTGTGCCGGGGTCTGGTCACTGTGGGCTGGGGTCAGGTCACTGTGCAGGGCTGTGGTCACTCTGTACTGGGGTCTGGCTGCTCTGTGCTGGGGTTTGGTCACTGTGCTGGGGTCTGGTCACTCTGTGCTGCGGTCCAGCCACTCTGTGCCAAGGTCTAGCTCTGTGTCAGGGTCCAGCTGCTCTGTACTGGGGTCTGGCCACCACTCTCCCCCATGGGAGCGAAGCCAGGGATCCCCAGGGAGGAATCAGCCTCCTGGTTCTCACCAAAGCGTGCCAGGAGCTGCTCTGGTGGAGCCCTGACCTGCGCGCAGCTCAGAGGCTGTTTCGGCAAAGCCTCGGTTAAAACGCGCTTGTCCGAACCAATAATCGTAAGATTTTATCTCGGGCTATTTTAAGGCCGATGCTCTGTCCCAGGAATATGGGATCGGAACGGGGAATGCAGCTCGGGTTTGTTTTTTGGGTCGCTACGCATTCCCGGGAATACAGAGGCTCAGCTGGGAACGCAGCTTGGATTTGGGGTTTGTGTCTCCGTGGCTGGAAAAAAAACAGCTCTGGAACCTCCCGTTCTTTGGTTTTTGTCTCTGCCAGTACCCCCAGAAAAACCAGTCAACATCACTTGCTGGTCCAAAAACATGAAGGACCTGACCTGCAAGTGGGCGCCAGGGACAGAAGGGGAGACCTTCCTGCACACCAACTACACCCTCAAGTACAAGCGCAGGTGGGTGCTCACCTTCATCCCTGTTGTCGTTAAAAACGTTGGAGTGGGATTTAATGGGAAACAGGGAAGGGGCAGCTCGATGCCTCCTGTCTGGGCCCTGCTTTTCTGGGATGAGTTTCCTCATGGAGCTGGGGAGGGTGAGGAGAAGCTGCTGCGGGCCTGGTTGAGTTGGGAATCACTGAGTGAACCACAGGGTCAGTCCCCCAATTCTGACAGCATGGAAAAACCAAAAGGTGACCCACGGGAGCGTGGGGGAGTGGTGCCAGCACCTCATCCATCACCTGCCCGCAGGTGGTACGGCCAGGACAACACCTGCCAGGAATACCACACGGCCGGAACCTACTCCTGCCACATCCCCAAGGACCTGGCCCTCTTCACGCCCTACGAGATCTGGGTGGAGGCGTCCAACCGCCTGGGGGTGGCCGTGTCCGACGTGGTCATGCTGGACATCCTCGACGTGGGTGAGCCACGGGTGCCACCGCCGTGCCGGTGCCGGTGACCCTGCGAGGGGAGTGGGGAGCGGCCGCGCCGGGCTGGGGCGGGGGCAGCAGGAAATGGGCGATATGTGAGCAGAATTGCTCCTAATCGAATTAGGCTGTTTGCTCCGAGTCGCTCCTACATCCGCGGCTCCTTAACCCTCGCGGCCCCGCGGCGCTGCCCCGCTGTGCCCCCGGGCCAGCCCTGCCTGTCCCCGCAGTCACCACGGACCCGCCGTCCGACGTGCACGTCAGCAGGGTGGGCGACCTGGAGGACCAGCTGAGCGTGCGCTGGAGCTCCCCGCCGGCCCTCAAGGATTTCCTCTTCCAAGCCAAGTACCAGATCCAATACCGGGTGGAGGACAGCTCCGAGTGGAAGGTGGGTGGGCACGGCCGGGGGACAGCGCGGGGGTGGCCCAGGGTCCGGGTGCCGCCATCTCCTCCCTCCGCAGGTGGTGGATGATGTGGGCAACCAGACCTCCTGCCGCCTGGCCGGCCTGCGCCCCGGCACCGTCTACTTCGTCCAGGTGCGCTGTAACCCCTTCAGCATCTACGGCTCCAAGAAAGCCGGGATCTGGAGCGACTGGAGCAACCCCACGGCCGCCTCCACCCCGCGCAGCGGTGAGTGCGGCCGGCAGCGCTCCCCGGTGCCGCCGCTGCCGCGCTCCCCTCCCCGTGCCCCGGGGGATGTGCGGGGCCCGCTCCATGCCCGGCACCTGGATTTCCTGCAAAGGAGCCAATTTGGAGCTCGGCTTTCCCGGCTGGGAGCCAAAACCTGCTCGGGTTCCTGTCCTCGTTCACGGCACGGCGGTGATGGGGGGGTCGAGGCGCGTCCCCCCGTGTGGCGCTGACCCCCCTGTCCCCGCAGAGCGAGTGGCGGGGGGCTGCGACCCCAAAGTGGGGGAGCAGAACACGACGCTGCGGCGGGAGCTGAAGCAGTTTTTCGGGTGGGTGAAGAAACACGCCTACGGCTGCTCCAACCTCGGCATCAAACTCTACGACCAGTGGCGCGTGTGGCTGCAGAAATCGCACAAAACACGCAACCAGGTAGGTAAGGAGCCTTTCGCACTTCTTCTCCCCGGCTGGGTGGGGACGCGGGGTGACCCCCCACCCCAGGGATGCTGGGGGGTGACGCCGACCCCGGGGCGACGCGGGGCTCTGCTCCTCTCCGCAGGTTCTTCCCGGCGATAAGCTGTAGCCCGCGGGGGACCGAGCGCCGGCAGGATGGGACGGGGCGCCCGGCGCCCACCCGGGACCGCCCGCGCCCGCCCCGGCCCCGCCGCGGGGGCGCTGGGAGGCGGCCGGGGCGCAGCGCGGCCCCGCAGCCCTGGGGGATGGGGTGGGGTGAGCTTGGGGGGCCGGGCTGGCCCAGCCCCGGGGGCTCTGTGGGACCGCGGCCCTGCGGCAGCGAGGGGACGCTCCAGCCTTGCCCGGCCGGGGGAGGCACCGCGGAGCCTTGGCTCCGCCAGCCGGGGCAGCCCCTGGCATGAAAGGGGCGCCGGGGGCTTCCCGGGTGACCCCACCCTCGCCGCAGTTCCCCCCGGGAAGCGATTTTGGCCTTTCTCTCGCCAGGGTCCCACGTGCGAGTGCACGGAGGGGTCCGTCCCCAGGGAGCCACGCGGGCTGATTGGAGGCTGCTGGGGTTTGCCCAGTGCCTGCTCCAGTTTTGATTCAAACCAGCCTTATTTTGGTTCCATTTCAGTCAATTAGGAACAGATTTAAGCTTAATGCCAATAAACCTCTGAAACCCCACCGGGGTCTGCGTCAGCGGAGCGGCAGCGCTGCGCGGGGACGGGGATGCAGCGGGCAGCCAAGTGGGGCCCGTGGCCTTTGTCACCCCATCCCGGGGCTCCCAGGGGACCGAGCCAAGGTGGAGGGGGTGGCACTGGGGCAGAGGGGGCCACACGAACCCTTGAGATCACACCACTCAGGCCAGCTCCATGGGGACAGGTTTATTTGGGGTGACCATAGAAAAAGCGCGTGCGGAGCACCAGAGCTGCAGTGGGGCTGGGGGCACAGCCGCTCCCCAAGATGTGGTCTGGGGGGGCTGCTGCCCGTGAGGCTCCAGCTGGCAGCAGGGACAGTGCCCAGCTCGATGGAGGCCTGGCAGGGCAGCCCCTTGGCACTGCAGGGTGTGCTCTGCCTTTGGCACAGCCGGGGAGGGGAACCAGCCCCACACCAGAGCCCTCTGCTGAGGGGCACTCAGGATTTAGGGGGACCCCTGTTGTCCCAGAGGGAGCTCCTCCACCCCTTCCAGCCTGTGCTGCAGCGAAGGGGCCCAGAGGACAATGCCCACCTTGCCAAGGTGCACCGGGAGCAGGCGGGGGATGAGCGGGGCCCCCGTTCCACCAGGCCGGCCCCTCCAGCCGTTCCCACGGGGACACCCATCACTCAACTTCTTCCGAATCGTACTTAAGGTCCTGGAGAATTTCGCTGATTGCCTCAATGGTTTTAATTAGCCTACGAGAGCGGATGGAAACTATAAATAAAGCCCATATGGAGCGTATTATGTGGGCCGCCTCGCCTTCCCCGCGCTGTTTATGAAACACTCAGCCTGGGGAGGCCGAGGGGACGCGGCCACGCAGCGCCGCCAGACCCCGAAGGCACCATCTGGGCCCCCCTGGGCCGCAGGGAGGGCGGGGAAAGGCAGGCAAGGGGCTCCTGGCCTGGGCTCCGGGATCCCTTCCAGCTCAGGACACGCCAGGACCCTGCGGGCTGGGGAGGGGGCGCCACCCCAAAACAGGGGCAGGAGGGGATGGCACTGGGGGTTCTGGGCTAGGGGGGACTCTGCTTTCCCAAAATGAGGGGGGACAGCAGCGGGGCCACCACCACCTACTTGTGCTTGAGCTCCTGCACCTCCTGCTGATGGGCGCCCACGTCGGGCTGGTCCTGTGCCTGCTGCCGGGCCAGCTGCAGCTGCGCCGTCTGTGGGGGACACCACAGGAGCTGAGACCCCCCAAAGCAGCCCCAGGGACCCCCCCTCTCCCCTCCCCAGCCCAGCACCCACCAGCTGCAGCTTCTCCTGCTCCCTGTCCTGGAGCCGGGCCAGGTGCTGGGCCAGGTCGGGGCGGCCGAGCTGGTCCCGCAGGCGCCCGGCGATGGCCAGCACCTCCCGGGAGATGCCGCTGAAGGCCACGGTGACCTCGTGCACCAGCTGCCGGTACCGCGGGAAGTCATAGTGGGGGGCGCTGCTCAGGTAGGCCCGGTGGCCCCTGCGGACAGGCCAGGGGGGAGAAGCCACTGTCACCACCCTGGGGTGCCCATCCTGGAGCCGAGCCCCCTTTGCCGCCCACCACAGGCAGCACCAGCGGGGTTTTCCTGCCTGTTCCTGCCTGGATTTGGCGGCATGAGCAGGCAGCCTCACCCCTCACACGGGACAGGGTTGGAAACTGCTTTTTTTGGGGGGGAAGGTTGGGGGTTTGGGTTTTTTCGTCCTGTACACTCTCAGCCCTGCATCCCAGGAAGTCCATCATCTGCTGGATGCTGAAATAGGATTCAGGTGTCCAGCGCAGAGTCCCGCTGCCAGCTGGAGCTCATCAGCCATCCCCATGGCCCCGTCCCAACAGGATGCAAAATAATCGGGACGGGGGATCCGGTTCCCTGCTGGGGGTGCCCCGCCCGCCCCGGTGGGTGCCGCCCCCGGGGCCCATCCCCGCGGCGCTGCCGGTGCCGGTGCCGGTACTCACTCCTCGAAGAGCCGGTACGTCTCGACCCGCTCGCTCTGCAGCTCCCGCAGCCGCTGCAGCAGCTCCCGCACGGCCTCGCCCGTCTGCGGGACAGACAGAAGGGGACGCGGTGGCACCGGTGAGCCGGTAACGGCTCCGGGCAGAGGCGGTACCGCCCAACGGGATCGCCCCGGTGCTGGGGCAACGCGTCCCCGCCCAGCACCGGTTCTGGGGGTCCCAGGTGGGTTCCGGCCGCGGGGCTTGAGCTGAGCCCGGCACCGGCACCGGGAGCCGCCCGGCCTTGTGCACACAACACAGACGGGCACCGGGACCCCTCATATCCCCCTGCCCACCACCGCGCCCCCCGACCGCCCGTGCACGAACCGGACTGACACCGGGACCCCCCGGACACGTGCCCGCGGTACCGAAGGGCACCGGGACCCCCATCCCGTCCGTGCGTGTGTCGGGACCGCTCTCTGTGCACGCCCGGAGCGGCACCGGGAGCCCCGGCCGTGCTCACACAACCCAGACGGGCACCGGGAGCTCCCCGGCCCCGGGTGCCCCCACCCCGCTGCAAACGCACCGGGAGCCCCCCGGCCACGTGTCCGCGGACCGGCACCGGGATCCCCCCGGTTCACAGACGGGCACCGGGACCCCCCCATCCGCGACGCCCCCGTGACCACGCGCGCACGGACCCGCTCGGTCCCGGGACGCCCCTCCTGCCCCCCGGGGCCGCTCCCGTTCCCGTCCCGCTCCCGGTGCCGCTCACCATGGCCCGGCCCGGCCGCACGGCGCAGGCCCGGGGCCCGCGGGGCGGAGCGCGGTTCCGCCGCCACCTGCAGGCACCGAGCGGCAGCGCCGCCAGCCCCGGTGCCCTGCCCCGGGGCCCCGGTCCGGCCCCGGTGAGCGCACGGCCGGGGGTCCCGGTGGGTGGGTAGGGGGATGCAGTGGGGGCTCCGTGAACAGGGGAGCCCGGTGCCGGTTCCTGGACACGCGGCCGGGGGCTCCCGGTGCGTTTGCCGCTGAACAGGGAGAGCCCAGGACGGAGCCGGTCCCATGCACACCTGGCTGGGGGTCCCAGCAGGTGGGTAAGGGGGGGCCCGGTGTTCATCCAGACCCTGCAGAAGTGACGGGAGGACGCCCAGTGTGTGAGCAGGGGCACATAGGGCTCCTGGTGACAGTCACCCCCCATGGCTGGGGGTCCCAGTGCACGAACAGGGAAGGGTCTGTGTGTGATTCTGGTGCCAGTCCAGTCCCTGGCCAGGTCCCAGTGTCCATCTGCTGCATCCACATGGCCGGGGGGCCCGTGGGTGGGCAGGGGGGTCCCAGTGCTGGCCCAGTTTGTGCACACACTGCTGCAGCACCACCACCTCCATTCCTCCCTGTCCCCCCACCCCACTATGCTGCTCCAGCACCGCCCCCATTTACTGAAAACCACGATTTGGCTAAAAAAAACACCAGAAAACGGGGCTGAGCGTTGCAATACTTTATTGGCCAGGGCAGGCAGGGCTGGAGGCTCTATTTGACCTTCTTCTTGGGGCGCAGGTTGTTGGTGTGCCCGCACTTCTTCTTGCGGCAGTTGACGGCGCGGGGGTGCAGGCGGGCGTAGCACCTGGGGGGGACAGGTCAGCAGAGCCCCGCGGCCCCGGGGAGGGCTCTGGGGGCTGCAGGAAGGGGCTGAGGGGACATGGGGAGGGGGCACGGGGACGTACTTGCGGCAGATCATCTTGTCACAGTTGTACTTCTGGGCCAGCTGGCGCAGGGAGGGCTCGATGATTCCCCCTCGCAGGCGCAGCACCAGGTGCAGGGTGGACTCTGTGAGGAGACATTGGTGTCACACCGGGGGGAAAGCAGCAGCCAGCACCCCAAAAATGCCCCCCAAAACCCCCCAGGGTCCGGGGAGCACCTTTCTGGATGTTGTAGTCTGCGAGGGTGCGGCCGTCTTCCAGCTGCTTCCCCGCGAAGATCAGGCGCTGCTGGTCGGGGGGGATCCCTGCGGGACACAATCACACAATCAACCGTGCTGGGGACACCGGGGAGCCCCGCGGGGCCACCCCGCCGCCCCCGGCCCCGCCTGTACCTTCCTTGTCCTGGATCTTGGCTTTCACGTTCTCGATGGTGTCATTGGGCTCCACCTCGAGGGTGATGGTTTTGCCCGTGAGGGTTTTCACGAAGATCTGCATCTTGGCACCTTCTCACCTGCGGCAGCGGCGGCCGCGTCACCCCGGGCCGGCCCCGTTATCACCGCGTCCCGCCCCCGACAGGGCCCCGCCGCCCCCCGGCCCCTCAAAGCCCCGTTCCCGACCACCCCTCCCGGGATCCAGCCCCCATCCCGGGATCCGGCCCCGCTCTCCCGGGAATCTGGCCCCACCCCGGGTCTCGGGGCCCTCGCGCGGGATCCAGTCCCGTCCCCGGGGACCCAGGGCCCCTCCCGGGTTTCCAGCTCCCACTCCGGGATCCAGCCCCCGCTGCCCGGGTCCCAGGCGCCCCTCCCGGGATCCAGCGGCCCCTCCCGGGATGCAGGGCCCCCGCCCCGGGCCCCGGGCCCGCTCCGGTCCCGCACCGCGCGCACCCGCGGCCTCGCTGCTGAGGGAAAGGGAGGCGGGGCCGGAACCGCGGTCGCGTCACTGCCGGTGGGGACACCGGCACCGCCCGCGACAGCTCCGTCATTTCCGGCGGGGACACCGGCACCGCCCCGCGACAGCCCCGGCACCGCCCCGAGACCGTCCGGTCACTGTTCTGTCACTGCCGGGGGGACACCGGCACCGCGGGACAGGGCACGGGAGCGTCCGCACGGACCTGGGACCAGACCGACCCCGGTCACACGGCCCAGGACCGATCCCCAAACCCGACCCTGACCCTGGGACCGGCCCCCAAACCCGACCCTGACCCCACAGCCCCTGGGACCGGCCCCACACTGACCCCATGGCCACAGGACTGGACCCCAGACCGGCCCCGGAGTTCCAGGACCAGCCACACGGACCCCACGGACCCCAGACCAGCCCCACAGCTCCAGGATCAGCCCCAGCAGCCAGTCCTCCAGTCCCCCACTCTCCTCTCATCCCCTCCAAGGCCTTCAGGACCCCAAAGCCAAGCAGTTCCTCCACCACACCACAATGCTGGTGGAAAAGAAAGATCTGGAGAGCTGCAGTTCCTGGGAACCTGCCTGTGGAGCCAGCAGCAGCAGCGTGTGAGGGGCTGAGTGCGAGAACCAAAGGGAAACACGGCTCTGGCTCATCCAGCAGTGAGAACTCAGCCAGCACAAGTCCATCAGCAGCAGGGACAGACCCCTGGCAGAGCTGGTGGGCACAGAGAGCCTCAGAGACAACATTTCTTACAAACCACAAACATCTGTCTCCAGAAATGGCTTTTCTGCGCCAAAAAATCTACACGGAGGGTGAAGTGTAGCGGCTCTCCTGAGCACAGGAAGGATGGAGGACAAGAGGCATTTCCAACCCAGGATTTACTGATTCCCCCTGAAGCCAGCATGGTGGCTTTACACCTCAGTGGCACTTTCCAGGCAGAAGGGCAGCACCTTCCTCCCTCAGCTTCTCCCAGCCTTGGCTTCCCTCTTCCCAAGAGAGGAAAAAAAAAAAACCCCAAAAAACCAAAAGAGCAACACACAGCTATAAATACAGGCTAGAAAGTTCTGCAGGGGCAGCACGGGGCTCCTAGTCTAGTCCAGGTTGGCCGTGTCCTCGTCTGTGAGACTCTGTCCGTTCAGGGCCGGGCCCTCGTAGTGGCCCTGGGATAAATCCTCAAACTCCTGGCTGGTGGTGGGGGAGATGAGGCCGGGGCTGCTGTCACAGGACTCCGTGCTCTGCTCCGAGGTAGCGATGGTGGTCGTGGTGCTCTTGGGGACGGGGTCGAAGTCGTCGTCGTCCTCCAGGATGGGGGACTCGTGGATGTCTGAGGGGGAGGAGGCAGGGGTTAGGGTTGTGCTGAGAGGGATCCCCTGGCTGGGATTGTGGTGGGGGTTGAAAGAACCCAACGAATGGCCAGGCTGTAAACTGGGGGTTGGTTGGAATTCTTGCAAGTTCCCTAGGATGGGGGACTCGTGGATGTCTGAGGAGCCAGGGGTTAGGGTTGTGGTGAGAGGGATTCCCTGCTTGAGCTTGCAGCTTGTAGGGGTGAAAAAAAAACCCTACAGGGTGTAAATTGGGGATTGGTTGGAATTTCTTCCAAGTTCCAGCCCCCACTCTGGGATCCAGCCCCCGCTCCCTGGGTCCCAAGCCCACTCTTGCAAGTGGATTTAATGGATTTAAGGAGCTTGCTGGGTTTTTGGGGAAGCAGCTATGGGCCAGCACGTGGACTTGTGATTCCTGAGGGATGCCTCAGGAACAGAGACTCTTCCCACAGGAGGAAAACTGAGCGTGGAGTGCCAGGACAAGGGGAATGGCTCCCCACTGGGATTTTGGGAAGGAATTCCTGGCTGGGAGGGTGGGCAGGCCCTGGCACAGGGTGCCCAGAGCAGCTGTGGCTGCCCCTGCATCCCTGGCAGTGCCCAGGGCCAGGCTGGACAGGGCTGGGAGCACCTGGGGCAGTGGGGGGTGTCCCTGCCATGGCAGGGCTGGCACTGGGGGGGATTTAAGGTCCCTCCAGCCCAACCCATCCCATGACTCTGTAGATCTGGGTGTCAGGAATCACTCACTGCTGAAAGCCTCCGGGTACTGCTTTGCCAACTTCCCTTTGAGCGTCCTGGGGAGGAGAGAACAATCCCAGTCCATGGGGAGCTCAGGGATCCGGAGCTGCCCCCCAGCTCCCTGGGCAATGCAAACAAATCCCGAGGGTGAGGGATTCCCACCCCAAACCCCCCATCCCAGCACAGTTCAGTTCCTGAACCCCCACATTTTGTGTTTTGTGACCACCCCGAGCAGCTCCCACGGCAGCAGAGCCCACCCAGAGCAGGATCATGGAAACCCAAAGCTCCGACCTCCACTCGATCACATCTTTTCCCTTCCCCAACAGATTTTCCTTCTCACAGCCCCCCCAGATTCCAACCTGTGCCCTGCTCTAACACCCCCCCCACCCCTCCCGGCATCCCCGGGCCCATTCCCGCCCGGTTTCCCACCGGATCCTCCGGAAGATGCTGTCCAGGTCCTTCTTCATCTCCACCAGGGTCCTGGTGTGGTGCAGGAAGCGCTCGCTCATCTGCTGCATGCGCACGCTGGACAGGTTGTTGAAGTTGAGCAGCATCTCGTTGGTCTTCTCAAACCGATCCAACCTGCGCGGGGGAGGCACAGGGAGCTCGGTAAAGATCCCGGCAGGCTCCCGGTGCCGGTACCGGGTTTCTCACCGGCCGCTCCCCCCGGGACTCACATGTTCTTCTGGGCCAGGATGATGGCGTTGACGTCCTCGGCGTTGACCATGCCCAGCACCCTCCCGCAGAACACCTGCGAGGCCGAGGGCTCCATCGTGACCTGCGGGACCGCGGGGCGGCTCAGCCGGGGCACCGGAGCCCCCCGCGCCGGTAACGGAGACCCTCCCCTTCCCCTCCGTGATACCGGGACCCCCTCCGCCCTGCCGTGCACCCAGTACCGGGTACCCCGCCGCCGTGCCCCCTCCCGGGGCGGCCCCACACGCCGGTAACGGGGGGGTCCCCTGGCCGCCCTCCGCCCCCGGTAGCGCCGCCAGCCCCGGGTTCCCTCGGGGACACGGCCAGGGCCTGTAGCGGTGTCCCCGGGGCCTCCCACCAGCACTGCCCGCGCACCTGCGGGAGCCCGTCCCGCCGCTTCACATGACGGGAGCGGCGGCGGTACCGGGGGCGGCACCGGCGGCCACTCCGCGCCGCTTCCGGGTGTGCGGTCACGTGGGACGCGACCCCGCTGCGTCACCGCGCCGAGCCGGAAGTCCCGGAGAGCGGCCGGGCGAGAGGGTCGCGACCCCTGCGGGCATCACGGAGCCTCTCCGGTACCGGCGCCGAGCCCCCGGCGCTGCCGCCCGCCGCGCCGGGGCAGCCGCGCTGGTGGCGGTCCCTTTAAGGCGTCGGGGGCGCCGCGGGCGCGCGGCTGACGAGCGTGCTCCTCGCCCAATGGCGTCGCGCGGTGGGCGGGGACCGACCAATAGGTGCGGGGGGGCGGGGCCTGCGCCCGCGCGTTCGCGGGCCAGGTGGGAGCGGCGGGGGGCGCGCGGCGGTCACGTGGGGCGGGCGGGGGGCGCGGGGCCGCCCCCCCCACGGTACCGGGCCGGGGCCGCGACCCCCCCGATCCCACCGGACAGACCCCCCCCCCCCCCCCCCATCCCACCGAGCCCCCGCCCCGCCAGGCCCCGTCCCCCCCCCGGCGCTCCCCAGTCTCCGCTGTCCCGTTGCGCATCCCCCGCCCCCGGAGGGTCCCGCCGGTCTCCGGGTCGGTGCCGGTAAGAGCAGCCCCGATCCCCGCCTTCTCTCCCCGCTCCAGGTTGTCCGCCGCCATGGCGTCCAGCGGGGAGGAACCGAGCAGCGGCTCCCCGGGCCGGGCGGGCACCGGCAGCGAGGCGGCGGACGCGGCTCAGCTGGACACGGCGGAGGATTTCGAGGTGCTGGAAGAGGAAGGGGAGGAAGATGAGGATGACCTGAGCGAGCTGCCGCCGCTGGAGGACGTGGGCCGGCCGCCGGCGCCGCCGCGGGAGGACGCGCAGCCCCCGGTGCAGGGCGCGGGGGACGCGGCCGGGGACCCCGAGGAGTGGCTCGATGTTCTGGGTGAGAGCTGAGGCTGCTCCGCTCCGGGGCCTCTCGGGCTTTCCCCGGGCTACAGGAGCCGCACTAGGGTGGGGGCAGTCGGGTTTTCCCTCCCCAGCGGTCCCCATGTGCCCCCGTTTCTCTGTGCCCAGGGAATGGTTTGCTCAAGAAGAAGACGCTGGTGCCGGGCCAGGGTGTGGAGAGTCGTCCCCAGAAGGGCCAGGATGTGACAATCCGCCTGAAGGCCATGCTGGAGGATGGCACCGTGGTGGAACAGGACCCGGCCCTCACCTTCACGCTGGGGGACTGTGATGTCCTGCAGGTGAGCACGGGCTGGAGGCTCACCTGGGAGCAGGACCTCACCTCAGGGCTCAGAGGAAGGGCAGGGGTCGGTGACATCCTGTTTGTGGGTCAAAGTGGCCCCTCTGCCCTTGCTCGTGCTCCCTCCCATGATGTTGGCCGAGTTAGAGGGGGTTTGGAGCCATCTGGTTTTGTGGAGGATGCTCCTGCCCGTGGTGGAACATCCAGGAGGTTGGATCTGGAGAACCCTTCCAGTCCCTTCCATGGTGCCATGTTGTGCCCTGCAGGCTCTGGACCTGTGTGTGCAGCTCCTGGAGATGGCTGAGACGGCTCTGATCGTGTCAGACGCCAAGTACTGCTACGGAGCCCAGGGCAGGTGAGCTGCAGCCCCTCAGCTGGAGCAGGGTGGTCCCACACAGGGCTGGGGCAGCTGTCCCCTGCTCACCTGGTGACAGCCCATCTGTCCAGCCTCTGCTTCCTTGTCGGGGTCTCTGGCTGCTCACAGTGACCCCGAGAAAAGTTAGAAAGTCTCTGTTCCCAGCCCGGTGCTTGAGGAAGGAGTCAGAGCTCTTCATTTCTTGCTCTTAAGGTTGTTTGTTGTTCCTTATCTATAAAATTCTTTCTCCTGTCCTGCCAAGGTCCATCCAGCAGGACAGTTCCAGGCACTCTGCCTGCCCCAGGGCAGTGTTACGTGTTTATACTAAAAACTACCTGTACAATGTTTACAATTACTTCCCAATACCTATCACCTGTGTTAGACAGTGAGCTTCTACTCTAAACCAATCCAAAAGTGCCACCATCACAGCAGAAGATGGAGACCAAGACGAAGAAGGAGAAAGGCTGGACATGCCCAGATCCCTCCATCTTGCTCCCCTGAACCCCCATTCTAAAAACCCCAAAATCTACTTTTTCACCTCGTGATAAATTCACTATCACTCTATTTAATTTGCCATGGCTTGCAGATCTTCATCTAGGGTTGGTAACTTGCTCCATGGGTCATAATCAAAACCACAGGGGCATCTTGGGCTCTGTGCCAGGGTCACTGAGCCCCCTGGCAGGGGTCTGGGCTGCTCAGGACAGCCAGAGGGATGTCCTGGCTCCTGACACCTCCTCGCTTGCCACGAGCAGCGTGTCCTATCTCGAGTGCAAAGATCCCCATCACCAGGGATTTCTGAGCTTGGATTTCACGGCGCCGAACCCTCAGAGCAGCACCTGAGGGGTGGCAATGGTGGCGTGGCTTTGTGCAGGAGCCCTGATGTGCCCCCCAACGCGCCCCTCACGCTGGAGGTGGAGCTGCTGGCGGCTCGGGATGCGCCAGACCTGGAGCTGCTCAGCGGGAAGGAGAAGATCCAGCTGGCCAACCGCAAACGGGAGCGCGGCAACTTCTTCTACCAGCAGGCAGACTACGTGCTGGCCATCAACTCCTACGACATCGCCCTCAGGATCCTGGGCTCCAGCTCCAAAGGTACCTGTCCCCACCCAGAGAGGGTCCCCTGGGCTCCAGGCCCTGCTGTGACCTGCCCTCGGGGGGTGTGCAGTGGATTTCAGCCCGGACGAGGAGGCCGAGCTGCTGGACGTGAAGGTGAAGTGTCTCAACAACCTGGCGGCCTCGCAGCTCAAGTTGGACCATTTCAAGGCAGCTCTCAAGTCCTGTAACCTGGTGCTGGAGCACCAGCCAGGGAACATCAAGGCTCTCTTCCGAAAGGGGAAGGTGAGGAGGGGCCCCTTCTCTGCGGTGTGGCAGGGGGTGAGGGACAGACCTCAGCCCTGCTCCATCCCCGTGTCACCCTGCAGGTGCTGGCTCAGCAGGGAGAGTACAGAGAGGCCATTCCCATCCTGAAGGCAGCCTTGAAGCTGGAGCCTTCAAACAAGGTAGGCTGGAGGTGTGTGCTGCCCGTGATCCCCCTGGGCTGGGGGTCTCCTGGGTGCTTCTTCTCTCTTGTCCCTGTCCCTTCAAACCTCACTGTTGCCCCTGGGGGGCTGAGACTCCCTGGAACTGTCCCCAGCTCCGTGGAGGGAGGCTGGGAAGAGCCCCCAGAGCCTGGGGAATGATGCCCCACATGGAGTGTGGCTGGGCTGCTCTCCAGCCTTATCTCCATGCTGTGAGGTTCCCTGGTGACCTTTGGTCCTGGTGGTGACAGGACTCCCTGCCAGCCCATCCATACTCCAGCCATGCCGTGGGGAGGGTCCAGGTTCCCCAGGTGGCTGGGGCAGTTTGTGCTGTGGCTGGGGGAAGTGGAGCAGAGCTGAGTCCCCACAAACTCGCTGGGCAGCCCCAGGAGTGAATCACCGGGTGCTGGGAGCAGCCAGACCTCGGTCCAGCGCCCGGGCAGGGCGAGCTCTGGGTCAGGAATTTCCTGTCAGTTAATGATCAGCTGCAGGACTGGTGCCTCGGGAGAAATCAAAAACCAGTGCCAGGAAATGACCCCAGCAGGAGCGAGACTGGGAGGAGACAGGGAGGTGTTGCCTGCGCAGGGTTGTCCTGGGGGTCTTGGCCCTCCAGATGGGCTTTAATCCTTGTCTGCATCTGGTGTGTCCATTTCTTACCTGGGGCTTTCACCAGACCACCAGGATCTGTGCCATGATCCAGTCCCTGAAGGTCACGGGTGAGATGAGGCACAAGCAGGTGCTTGGTGGCCCCACAGCACCTTCAGAGGTGGTCTGAGCTCCCTTGAGAGGGTGAGCAGGGCCCCAAACCCTTTCTTTCCCATCAAGGTCAGGGTGGAGAGGGAGCAGCCCAGGGAACCATTCCCCTGGCACGTCCCTGGGCAGGGCGGCTGCTCCCCAGCAGTTCCGATGGAGCTTTTAATTGGAGAGGGCTGGAAAATCCGAATGCCCGGCAGTGACGTGTCCAGCGAAACCACAAGAACAGCAAATTACTGCCCTCCCCAGCTGCTGCCCGGGCCCCAGTGGCGGCGTGGGTGACTCAGGGGCCACGGCTACCAGTGCTGAAAACACTCCAGAAATGCTGGGCTCCACCTGCCTCCCGCCAGGCTGTCACACACATCCCTCCTCTGAGCCCTCCGGGATGCTGAGGGTTGTCTGACGCTGATGTGACAGCCCTGGTGAGCTCTGAGCAGGAGCGTTCTCTCCTCCAGACATCCAGATTTTCGTGTTGGAGGCAGATTTCCCCAGCTGGCAGGGCTGTGTTCTGGGGATGTGTCCCCCAGCAGAGGGCACAGCGTGGCTGTGCCACCAGGGCCACCACAACGTCCTCCTGCCACCCTGCCCTGCTCAGCTCCCTGGTGCTTCCTGCTGCTTTTGGGGAGCCTGTGGGCCCCACGCAGGACTCAGAGCCTTTTCCTGCCCTGGCAGGGCAGGTGTGGACACGCTGTGGGTCTTGCTGCAATCCCACTTGACACCAGGCTGAGTTTTGAGCCCGCTTTCCCAGCCTGCTTCCAGACAGAAAGTGGGAGAGCTGGTGCACGTCTGTCCTCAAGGCAGGCACTTTCCTGTCTCGATTAAAGGATAAAATCCCTTTGCTGGTGTCTGGCATCAGCCCTGGGCTCTGCTCCTTGCTGCCAGGCAGGGAGTGGCTTGAGCAGCCGAGAAGGACAGAGGGGCACTGGACCCACAGAGTGTCCCCTGGTGCAGCCCCATGGCGCTGGGGATGGGGATGAGGCCCCATCACCCCCTCAGCTGCTGTGCACATCCCAGGGGCAGTGGAACGTGCTGTGGGTGGCAGGTCCCCTCCCTGGCAGGCGGGGAGGGTGCAGGGCTGATGAGAGCACGCTGTCCTCCCCAGACCATCCACGCTGAGCTCTCCAAGCTGGTGAAGAAGCACGCGGACCAGAGGAACGTGGAGACGGAGATGTACAGGAAGATGCTCGGGAATCCCAGCACCGCCAGCACCCCCAGGAAGTGCAAAGACAAACTGCCCTGGGTAAGGCCTCTGGGGGAGCTGGGGATCCACAGGGCTGTGTCAGCGTCCCCCAGGTCCCCCAGGAGGGACACAGCCCCCTCCCAAGCAGGATGTGTTCGGGCAGTGTCAGGATCCCGCTGGGAGCAGGGGGCCGTGCTCCGGGAGCCGTGCCCAGAACACATCCAGATAACAGCCTGTGCCCTGGCAGTGTCTGGCTGTGGATCACAGCCATGCCAGCTGCACGCTCCGGACTTTGCTCCCGTTGGGAAGCGCTGTCAGCTGGCGGCACACGCTGTCCCACACGGCGCTGCCTTTTTGGGATGCCCTGTCCAGCAGGCAGGGCAGGCGGGGTGGCACGTGTCCCCTGCCATGGGCACAGCCCCTGACGTGTCCCCCCGTGCTCTGCCCCGCAGTCCATCCCCTGGAAGTGGCTCTTTGGCGCGACAGCCATCGCGCTCGGCGGCGTGGCCTTGTCCGTGGTCATCGCCGCCAGGAACTGAGGGTGGCACCGGGGTGGCCCCTGGGCACGGGACCCGTGCCAGCTCCTGGCTCTCTCTGCCGAGGGGCTGCCCCGAGGCTCTGCCACCCCCTCCCGCGGGCTCGCAGCTCCACGGATGCTTTCTGTGCCGGAGGTGCCGGATCTCCCTCCCGACGTTCCCCACATCCCTCCTGGCACGGGCGGGTGCCACCCGCGGGGTGGGCAGGGGGCTGCTGGCAGAGCAGGGACCCCCGGGCAGCCTCCTGGCAATCAGGGGCTCAGCCCCCAGCCCTGAGGGTGTCGGGGGCAGCAGGAGCTGCCTCTCACGGGTGCGTCCTGGCCGTGCCCATCCCTGCTGCGGGGACAGGATGGGCAGGGGGTGGCACGGAGAAGGAAGCTGTGGGAAGCGATGTGGATGTGCCCAGGGGGAAATGCAGCGACATTCCCTGATTCCTGGGGGCTGCCAGGGACTCAGCCCTCCTGGAGGTACCCGCTGCCCTCCTCTGCACATCCCTGGAGCGTGCAATGTCCAAAGGAAGCCAAAGAAACCCGCGGTGGGAGGGATGGAGGAGGGGAGCGCTGCAGACCCCCTGTCCCGGCTGTCTTCCCATGGGTCCGAGCCCGTCGGGGGTCCCTCCCTGCCCTGCAGCCCCCCCAGCGCCTGCCCAGCCTCAGCTCTGCTCATGGGGGGTTGTAGCACTGTCCTTGCACCCCAAACTGACTGTGAACTTCCCAAATAAAGGACAATTCCTTCACATTCCGGCCTGTTTATTGCCACACATGGGGACACGTGGAGTCTGCAAGGGGGGTGATGCTCAGGGGGGAGCCTGGCATGCCAAAATCAGCCCTGGAGGAAGCCTGGAACCTTCGGGCTCTACCTGGGGGTCAGGGGGTCCGTGCTGGGGTGCTCATGACTGGGGAGGTCTGCAGGGTTGGGGGGTTCATTCCTGGGGGATTCACACATGGGCGAGTACAGGGGGTGCCCACCACGGAGTGTCATGCCCAGGGGGGTCCGGAGGGTTCGTGCCTGGGGGGCTCACACCTGGGGATTTCATGCCTGGGGGGTCCAGAGGGTTCATGCCTTGGGGGGCTCATGCCCGGGGAGTTGATGCCAAGGGGTTGCAGGGAGTTCACACCCGGAGGGTTAAATGCCCGGGGTGGGTCAGGGGTTCATTCCCGGGGGTTCACACCGGGGTTCCCCCCCCGCCGCCCCCTCCCCACGCTCCCGCAGCGCTCCCCGGCTGCACCAGACCACCCTCCCCAGCATGCCCCGCGCCCTTATTTACATATCCCCGCCTCCTCCTCCCTACGGCCCAATCCGGCGCGGCGCCCGGAATCACCCAGCCAATCGGCGCGCCCGCTGCCCACCTCCTCGCCCCAGCAACAGGCGCCCCGCGTGGGCGTGGCCGGCGGAGCGGCGCATCATGAATAATTCATAAGGAGGGGCGTGTCGGCGGCGGGCGGCCCCGGCGGCCCAGGCGCGGAGGGGGAGACGGTCCCAAGATGGCGGCGCTGCAGGCGGAGCGCGGGTACGGGCTGTCCTGCGGCCGCCTCGGCCGCGGCACCCGCGTCTCCGTCTTCCACGTCAAGCTCACGGAGAGCGCCCTACGCGCCTTCGAGAGCTACCAGGCCTGTAAGGTACGGGGCTGGCGGGCGTGGGGCGGCGGGCACGGCCCCGCCGAGGGCGAGCGGGCGGCCGCCACGAGGCCCCCGGACGGAGCCCTGCGGGCGGCACCGGCGGGGATGTGAGGGGAGGTGAGAGGGGGGAGCTCCTCGTGGCGTGGGCGTGTGGCCCGGGGCGGGGGGACTCCCTGCTGGGGGGCTGAGGGGGTGCGGAGGCTCCCGCCCCCCCCGTCCGTGAGTGACCGGGGAACCGGGAATGGGGGGGGGGGGGGGGCGAT